TGTGGTATGTTCATATGGATTTCAACAAGCCGAGATGCTAGTTCTATGCCAAGTATTAGTGCCGAATACGTCACAAAGTTGCCGAATATTGTTGGGAAATAATATTGTAAACTTGTCAAAGAATGTGCCGAATAAGAAATGTTGCGGTGTAATTTTTGCTAAATAAGTTATAAGCCGAGTTGATCATATGCATGTAGCGTTCATAATGCCGATGAATTCTATTGCCGAATAAGTTGACATATAATGTTGTGAGCCGAATAACGTAGATAACGGGACGGGATTGTCCGATGTTGATGTATGGACGGCCGAGTAGTGTTGCTGAGTAAGCAATGAGCCGAATAAGTCAATAAGTTGCCGAATTGTTCGTTGGGCCTGTGGATGTAAGTTGGTTCGTTGGTGGTTTCCAAATAGACGTAGTTGTGATAGTCAAATTTTGAGGTATGTTTTGGACAAATAGTCCGAGCCGAAATTGAAGCCGAAGACGATACTGAAGTCGAAGATGGCGAAATCAAGCTCGGAATTGTTTTGACCGTGCACTGTTTGTTATTACAGATATAGTCTTGGCGTCATCCTCGTCTAAGCTGTTTGCCAATCTCTTGAAGCCGATTCATCCTCATTGTCTCCGATTGTTCTTGCTGTGTGAGTTGCTTGGGTAACAAACTACGAAAAATGATCAGTTTGGGTCGGAGTTGTTGTTGATGGGGTTGGAACTCGATGATTAATTATTTGTCTATCAATCTGTGACTACGACGAAGGATCTAAGAGGTTGAGGAAATTGTGTACAAAGCTTGTTCATGGCCATAGATCTTCCGATGTACCCATTTGACCAATCCTTGAATTGGTCTTGCATAACTGAAGTTGCTGAATTGAAGTTGGGGCGAGTCGGCCATTCGGGTTATTGAACAACAATTCTTTAATTCCCGTTAATTGTTAGCACATGCATATGTATATATATTCCAAGAATCAACTTTTGTGAGACAATAATTTAATAAATAAAGTCCCAGAGTGGGTTTGGCCGGGTTACTCTCTTTGTAAGGCCGAAAAGATGTTCTCACAAAGAAAAGTGTGAAACCCATTTTTAGAGAGAGAAAATCTAGACTCAATTGTAGATCCACTACCTTCGTCTCATGCTTTCAATTTTTCTAAACAAAATTCATATTTATTTGACAAAATCTGTGAGTATAAAGATAGAGACATATACATACACATATCGATATATGATATTTAGAAACATAATCAAAAGGGAGAAGACAAGGACCCAATTGTAGATAGTACACTGGTCTGAGCTCCTTAAGAGTGGTGTTTGTTCTGCTCTTCATTGAATTCTCAGACATTTCCCACAGACGGCGCTAATTGTAAGACCATGAAATATCCTCTCACATGGATGTAGTAAAGATCCAACGAAGAGATGAACTTTGTCCCTGTGCGCCTACAACGATGAGCATGATTGGCGCCACCCAACCGGGGTTGCCAGCCGGAGACACTCCGATTCTAAAGTTAGTCCTTTGATTGAAATAATAAAGTTATGGAAATCAAGAGTGCTGGTGTATAGTGTAGGGAGAGAGCACCTATCCATTCTTCTAGAATGCCCTCCTCTTTATATAGATGGGAGGTGTGATATTTGTTTGGGTTGGACCCATTGTAGGCCTTGTTTGGGTTAACCCCAATAAGCGGATATATATTATTTTCTGACTTCCACAGTAACATATATGATATTTTATTACAATTCATATAAATAAAAAAAATGAAAAAAATGATAATGTCATTTTTTTATACTCTAAAATATATATATATACTAGCGTATGCCCGTGCCTAAAGGCACGGTGTAAATAATTTTAAGATTAAAATGTAGTTATAATTTATACGTATTATGTTGAAATTTATAAAGTTTGTGTCATTTTTTGATAAAGATACTGAAAAAATATATTGAAATATTTTTCTTCTTAAAGAACTTATAACAATTTTGCTTGTATTACACGCTCTACAAAACTCAAATAAAATAACAACTCTCCCTAATCTTAATGCAAATTAAGAAACAAACATATAAGATTTAAAGTTATATTGCATATCAAAATATAAAAGGCCGTAAAAAAAAGTGTAAACAATGAATAAAAAACAGAAATAAAGTTATACTGTCATACACCAAAAGGGTAGGTTAAAACTTTACAAAAAGTGGGTTAAAGCTTTACAAAAGATGTATGCTTTACAAAAGATGTGTCACTAACATGTCATACACCAAAAATTATATTGTCATACACCAAAAATATGTATGCTTTACAAAA